GCTGCTGTTTATGTTTCCAAGTGTTACTTCTTTGGTTTCATTTGTATTGGGCAAATGATGCTAGATTATTTTTTTAGGAGTGAAGATAAATATAAATAAATGTGCCATAACTGTTTTTCCACAAATTCTGTGCCTCATGTGGCACTGTTTGTGATTTTTTTTTGATTGGTTTGTTTTATGAAAAATCCATAACAAAAAACTTGGTATTGACTGGATGGGCTTTGTTGTTTTTGAGTCAAGTGTTGAAGGTTTCAAGGAATAGAGTTAAGGAGGAGGAACTTGGACATTGACAACAGCAGGTAGGCAGAGAACTGACTGGCCGGCCAGCATGATCAAACTGCATTGCAGCGCCTGTGTATGACAGCTGAGTACTCCCTTTTATAGCCATAGTCAACTCTTGTTGGAGGCGATGGAGGTCTGTCTTTATCTCAGAGATCAAGCTCTGCTCCTGCTCCGGGAGGAGGGGGTAGGACTTCTACAAGCTCTGCTGTGGACATTTTCTAAGTAGGCAGGTGTTACAAATGGTGTGTCTTTATTAGAACTCAATCGTGGGACCCTGCTAAAACTTTCACTACTGACATACTTTGTGAGAATCATGTAGATAATATATTCTTTCTTTAACTGGAGCAGCACATTGCTAATTTAAAAAAACAAAACAAAACACTTTTTTTCTTCAAAGTATTAACATGAAACTTTCTATTTCCTTTACTTGCTTAGATTTTTGTGACTTGATTGTCAAAAATGATGTCAGAATATATTAATAGAATTAAACTTATTTTTAAATAATACTAGTCTTTATATTTTTGTGCACATATGATTTTCTTCAAAAAACATGTTGAAAGTCTACTCATATTCTTAGTGCTTTAAAACTTGTATTTCATGTGGATTATCTCTATTCATTGAATTGTCCGTTTTCTGAACCTGGTATTGCCTATTCTTCAGTTGAAACTTCCTTGTGAATTTAAAACTATTTCTCTAAATACAACTATTTCTCTAAATATATTTGACATATAAAGCTCTTTAAATTTTATCATGTTAAAAATTTATTTTTTGTCTTCAATACATAATATTTTAATATGAAATGTGATTACTGGTTTATCAGTACAGTCTTTTTACCACAAGTAGCCAAGTTATATTTATTTCTTAAGATGTCATTTCTGTTCTTTTCTATTTGTTTTTATCTTTTTTTTTAAAGACCGGGTCTTGCTACATTGCTCAGGGTATATGAACTTACCGTGTAGTCCAGGCTGGCCTTTGAGATCTTCCTGCTTCTGCCTCTTGAATACTGGGATTGAAGGTGTGTACCATGCCCTGTGTATACTTTTAATTTTTGTGGTAAAGCCAGGCTCTTAAAAGGGAACCATAGAGGGCTGGGAAGGTGGCTCAGTGGTAGAGTGCTTGCCTTGCATGCCTGAGGCCCTGGGTTCGATTCCCCAGCACCACATAAGAAAAAAGAAAAAAGCCGGAAGTGGTGCTGTGGCACAAGTAGTAGAGCGCTAACCTTGAGCTGAAGAGCTGAGGGACAGCGGCCATGCCCAGAGTTCAGGCCCCACGACCGGACCCCAAAAAAAAAAAAAAACAAAAAAGGGAACCGTAGGAAACTTTAAGCACTCCTGCAAGAGCTACTAAATAGTAAAGAGCACGGAGCTTTCCATGTAGGAGAGTAGGTAAGCATCTATGGGCATGTGGAGGGAGGGCTAAAGACCCCCACAGGCAGTGGTATAGAACTCTCATCCATGTAGGAGAGTGGTTCCACATTTGTGGGCAAGAGGAAGGCGGGCCTCTGCCACAGACCCCACAGGCAGACCTATGATGGATCCTGATGATCCATGAAGAAGCTTTTGATACAACAGGAAAAAGGTGTTCCATCATGACCCTTAAAAAAAGGTAATTGGGTTGTTTAATAATTGTCCCTGACTTTGTTTCTACTCATTAAGTAATTTTTTTTTTTTTTTTTGTCGGCCGTGGGGCTTGAACTCTGGGGCCTGGGTGCTGTCCCTCAGCTCTTCAGCTCAAGGCGAGCGCTCTACCACTTGAGCTACAGCGCCACTTCCGGTTTTCTGGTGGTTTATTGGAGATAGGAGTCTCACGTTCTCTCCTGCCCGGGCTGGCTTTGAACCACGATCCTCAGATCTCAGCCTCCTGAGTAGCTAGGATTACAGGCGTGAGCCACCAGCGCCCGGCTTCATTAAGTAATTTTAAAAAAAATTTAAAATTATTTTGTAATTTGAACTGAATTTAGATACAAGGAGATGTAATTAGTGGATGACATGAGGAGAGTTAAATGAATTGTTGTCAAAAGCAAATGTTTTGAATATTGATAAAGTTGCTGGGTAGTTTTCATTATATCACACACAAAGTAGTTGTGCACCTATCATGAGCGGAGACTATTCCAAGCATGTAAGTACACTGGTGAGGGAAACAGAGCTCTTCACCTGTGGGTACTTACTAGGGGAGAAGGTTAGACAGTTTAGATACTAAGCAAACATAGAAACTATCCTATTATATGGTGATGTGTTGTGAGCACAAGTTAAAAAGAGGACAAAACAGAGCAATAGTACAGGATTGGGGAGAGATTTGGTTTTCTTAGGATGTTTGGTTTGGTTTTACGTTTTTGAGGCAGGGTTTGACTATGTAGCCCAGGCTGGCCTCAGACTCATGATCTGATTCAGCCTCCTGATGATAATGCCTCTGGTATTACAGGTATATAAACTATATTATTATACCACGCCTGGCTAAGGTGTGTGCAATTTTAAACATGGTGGTCAGGAAAGATCTCATTGAACTTGGAGCAAAGATCTAAGGTGAGTGAATGAACAGTGTGAATGTATGGAGGTGGACCCTCATTTATGATGACTTAGGAATTTTAGGTGTTAGGATGGAGCAAACGTGATACATGGTTCTATGAGTTTTATCTTTTCCCAGGTTACTAAGATACATCTTCCCATATGTGCGAACTGGACTGTGAACCATGTTATTAATCACAAGAGTGAACTGCTGCACTGTGCTGCTCAGCACTGGGACTTGTAGGTTCGATGGGTTGGTTTTGTGGCATTTTCGACCGTATGAATTCATCATAATGAGTACGAGGTTGTCTAGGAGAGGTAAAGCAAGAAGGCTAGTACAGCTAAATGAGGAGTAAAGGAGGGTGTAGTAGGTGAAGCCCTTCTGGCTTCATACCATGTGGGTTTTATTCTGAAAAGGCATTTCAGTTTTCTGGAAATAAGTGATAGTATTGACTATTCCGCATAAGAAGCAAGAATAGAATTGGGGGGGACCATTTGGAGGGTATTGCATCCATCTGGGTACAGATTGTCCTGTTGGCATGTATCAAGAATGGAAACAGTGGAAGAGGGAGAGATCAAGATAGGTTCCAGTGGTAGAGACTAGACGGGTTCTAATGGAAGAGAATCTGGGGAGGTCCTAATGGTAGGGATGCATATAAGTTAATGATGGTAGAGGATCTGGTGGATCTGATGGTAGAGGATGCAGATGGGTTATGGTGGGGGGATCTGGTGGGATCTGATGGTGGAGAATGTAGATGGGTTCTGATGGAGGATCTGGTGGGTTCTGATGGTGGAGGGTCTGGTGGGATCTGATGGTGGAAGATGTAGATGGGTTCTGATGGTGGAGGATCTGGTGGGATCTAGTTGTGGAAATTGGTGGAGTGTGCAGATGAGTTGGATTGAGAAGAGAATCCGGGCTGAGGGACCCCTGCCTGTGCTTGGATTTCAGGCTCCTTTCAGGATGAGCAGTACACTGAGGCGAGTGCTGGCAGGTGGGGCTCCGGCAGACACTTGGTGTGCCAATCGGCCTCCTGTTCACAGCCCTCCTCTTGCCCCAGCCGGGCCTCCTCAGCCCTCCCCTGGCCTCCAGCCCCAAGCCTCCACACAGAGGGTCGGGCTGGGAGGTCTTCCGCAGGAAGGAAGGGAAGGCCTGAGAACCAGAGAGCCAGAGCCCAGACATGGTTTTCCAACTGGCTCCTGGTTCACCAGCTGCCCCCCTCCCTCCGGCCCTGCCCGCCTGCCTGGGGTCCGGCCCTCTCCTCCTCCTCTTCTCTTCCTCTCCTCCTCCCCCTCCTCCTCTACTCCTCTCCTCCTCTTCCTCTTCTTCCTCTCCTCCTCTCCTCTTCTTCCTCCTCCCCTCCTATTCCTCTCCTCCCCCCTCGTCTACTCCTCTCCTCCTCCCCCCTCCTCCTCTACTCCTCCTCTTCTTCCTCTCCTCCCCTCCTCCCCTTCCTCCCCCTCCTCCTCCTCTCCTCCTCCTCTCCACCTCCTCCTCCTCCTCCCCTCCTCTCCTCCTATTCCTCTCCTCCCCCCTCCTCTACTCCTCTCCCCCTCTTCCTCTTCTTCCTTTCCTCCTCTCCTCTTCTTCCTCCTCCCCTCCTATTCCTCTCCTCCCCCCTCCTCTACTCCTCTCCTCCTCCCCCCTCCTCCTCTACTCCTCTTCTTCCTCTCCTCTCCTTCTTCCCCCTCCTCCTCTCCTCCTCTCCACCTCCTCCTCCCCTCCTCCTCCCCTCCTCTCCTCTTATTCCTCTCCTCCCCCCTCCTCTACTCCTCTCCTCCTCTTCCTCTTCTTCCTCCTCCCCTCCTATTCCTCTCCTCCCCCCTCTACTCCTCTCCTCCCCCCTCCTCCTCTACTCCTCTTCTTCCTCTCCTCCCCTCCTCCCCTCCCCCTCCTCCCCTCCTCCTCCCCCTCCTCTCCTCCTCCCCTCCCCCTCCCCCTCCTCCCCTCCCCCTCTCCTCCCCCTCCTCCCCTCCCCCTCCCCCTCCTCCTCCCCTTCCTCCCCTCCCCCTCCCCCTCCCCCTCCTCCTCTCCTCCTCCCCTCCCCCTCCCCCTCCTCCTCCTCTCCTCCCCCCCTCCTCCCCCCTCCCTCCCTCCAGAGCCCAGCCCGGCCCGGTCCGGTCAGGGAGGCGGGCCGGTGACGCAGCCCCGGGGCTCTGCTCCCAGCTCCCCGCCTCCCGCCTCCCGCTCCCGCTCCCGCCTCCCGGCTCCCCCCGCCGCCGCCGCCGCCGCTGCCGCCGCCGGAGTCGGCCGCCCGCATGGCTCAGGCCAAGATCCACGCCAAGGCCAACGAGGGCCGCTTCTGCCGCTCCTCGTCCATGGCCGACCGCTCGGGCCGCCTGCTGGAGAGCCTGGACCAGCTGGAGCTCAGGTGGGCGGCCGCGAAGGGCTTCGCGCGGGAGGGCCGGGGAGGGCCGGAGGGCGGGCCCGGGGCCTCGGCTCGGAGCCGCGCGGCCCCGCCGCCCCGACCTCCTCCCGCGCGGCTGGCCAGAGCCGCGCCCGCAGCGCCCGCCCGGCCTCTGCCTGCCTCGGGCTGCGTGAGGCGGAACCGGCCTGCAGAGCCCGCTCCTGCTGGGCGCCCGCGGCGCCCGCCGGCGTCCGGAGAGAGCCCTGGCGGCAGGGCCCCTGCCAGGGCGAGCCTCGGCCGCCAGTCCCTCCGGAGCCGGAGCACGCGCACCGGCTGCCCGCGGCCGCGGGGCGCTGTGAAGCTGGCTCCACTCGCGGAGAGAGCACCCCCCAGGACCCGTGGGAAGCGTCCGCGCGGCCGGGGTGATTGCGGATGGTTTGGAGACTGAACAGGAACTTGCTGGCGCCTGAGGATGGGGATTTTGGCTGTTTGAACATTTCCCAGTTTCCCTGCACCATTCCTCCTCTGGTCAGCCATTTGCTCAGCCAGGACGTGAAGAGTTGGGTGGCAGGCGAGGCCGAGGGTGCTCGCTTGTCCTTTGTGTTCCTTGGTAGGGTGTGCCTGGGCTCCAGGACTCAGCGCTGACATTGTAGAACAGCTTGCAGTTTACAGTTTACAACATGCTGTCATTGGAGGCAGGAGGGGCACACCTATCATTGCCTCTTAGAAGTGAGGGCCCTGAGCCCGCAGGCCCACAGGGCTCCCCTCGGGCCTGACTACTAATGAGTAGCTCTGGACACACAACATCCCCTTTTACACCACTGTCCTGATGGGAAATAAAAGCTGAAATGTTAACACATGGTGATTAGAAAGCCTTCCAAAAGTTCTACTTTGCCAGAAACATTAAGTGAACATGGTAGAGATCTTTGGATACAGGACTATCTAATAAATGCGCCGTAAGTTTAAAAATCTGTTAAGGAAATTCTTTTTCAAAAAAATCCATATTATAAACATTTGCCATTTTCCCTCCATTTCAACTTCCTCTTGTTACAGGGTGAGTTTGTGTTCATAATGGAAGTGTGGAGTAACTGTCATGAAGCTAGTATATGCCAGCACATCATACATCTTAACCCGTTTTACATGCCAGTCAGTCCTGTGTTACTCTGCCTGCTTTTCTGAAGTGCAGCCCCGATCCTTATCACCCTTGTTTCATAGCTGAGGAATTGCAGCTCAGTGCTTAACTACTCAAAGTCACACAGCTGAGAGTAGCAGCTGCCAGCACTGCACAGCCTATGAGCTGAATCCTTAATACCTCTGCACCTCTGTCCACCACCTACCAGGTGGCCTCCGGTACCCCAGCTGCAGAGATTTGTAAGGTGCCAAGACCTGGGACACACAAGGAGGCATCTCCGGTTTTTTCTTGTGAATTTTCTAAGGTGTTTTTGTCCTAGCCTTCTTGATGATTTGATGCAGTTTTTCAGGAGCACAGGCCAGGCAGTCTGCATGTGAGGATTAGTTCTTTCCCAATATGGACACGTGGCTGCTCCAGGACCTGTTAGTAGTACTGGCTGCCCCTTGCCATCAAGGGACATTTGTGTGGATGTCAGGTTTCTCACACTGACACACAGTCTGGTGCTTGATCTCAAACCAGTGGAGAAGCCATGAACAACAAAATCTGTATGAGTTGAATTTAGGGGAAGAAATGCTATTAAATAGTACACGTATTGTTTAAACAGGCACTTATTTAAAGCAGCACTGTAGGATCAGCTTTTAAAAGAAAAAGTTGAACAGGGGATGTGGTACCTACACTAAATAGAGGGAGCAGCACCAAAGGAAGCACAGGTCTCCTCAAGGGAAATCGAGCCTCCTGGAGCAGGAGTAGGAGGTTTTTGAAAGCTAGTATCAGAGAAGCTAGCAGAGAAGTGCTACGGGGAAGCCACCCAGGGTGAAGAGCACCCTGGAATCTTTACAGCCTACCTTTGCTGTCACATGGGGAAGATATACATAATGTGTGCAAGAGTAGCTTGGGATCTTTACATGCCAAAGAGTGACATTCTGCCTTTACTGTCAAATGGAAAAGGTGTACATAATGTGTTTTTTAAAGTTCCCTTGTAAACACCTGGTAATTTTTGTTATATGTAAAGAAGTGTTGGCTCACATCTGTAATTCCAGCTACTCAGGAGGCTGAGATTTGGAGGAATGTGATTTGGAGCCAGGATTTAGAGACTTTAAAAAACAAAATTCACAGCTCCACATATGGCTCAATGGTACATTTCCAGCGAAGCAAGGAAGTTAAGCAAACATGAGGCCCTGAGCTCAAATTCTGGTACCAAGGGAAAAAAGAGTTGTGAAAAAACACCCAAAGAAATCACCACAAAGCATAAATGTTCTCATTTCCTTTAATAACTCTGTGTGTGTGTGTGTGTGTGTGTGTGTGTGTGTGTGTGTGTGTGTGTGTGTGTGTAGTGCCTGGTAAGTGTGTGTGTGTGTGTGGAGTGTGTGTGTGTGTGTGTGTGTGTGTGTGTAGAGTGCCTGGTATCAAATCCAGGGCCTTGCGTATGCTAGGCAAGCTACCACTGAGTTGTGTCTCCAGCCCCAAATAGCTTTGTTATATGTGAGTTTTATTTTTTTAGACTGTCTCCTAATGTCTCTATTTCTTTAACAATCCCAAAAATTCACTATGACAGCTTATGCTGCATGAAACCTTATTTTAGAACATTATGCAGTTCTTGATCATCTCATATTTGTTCAAAAATTAATGACTTCTTTGAGCAATGGCTTATCAGTCACATGGATGTTTTGTCATTTATCTGTAGAGTCATAGGTAGTGTTCTTACTGCGATCCCGTGACACCTGTCTCTCTCACATGCACTGGGCTCCTGTCCCACTGCCGGCTTGCTGATGAGAAACGCTGGAGTGGCTACGGAGCCGTGTTAGGTGAGGGACTGGCTCCACATGGCTATTATTTTACAGAATGTTATGTTTGTTTCCAGTCAAATTTGTCAAGTAAGACTCTTAGCAATTCTTTGTGCTTACTGGCTCTTATAAACATGACGTTCCACATATATTTTCTATCCCAAAGAAGAAAGCCTTGCTGTAACCTTCCCAGCCTGTTGATGCTATTTTGGGGTATAACAGGTGGGTGACGGTTATAGGGGAGAGCACGTGTTGGGCCAGGCCGAGAAGGAAGGGCCCTTTTATGGAACTGGCACACACTAAAACATCGGTGAAGTTGTTCCTTCTGTGCCCATTTAAGGCAGCAGTCTGGATTGGATCCTCTGTATTTCTGGGATCATGCAAATATGGAGGATAGTTCTGTTACTATCTTGTTTTATAAAAGCTGACAAGTTCTATAACGTGAGAAACTGCCCTATAGAGAACTTTTCTTGCATTTGTGATTCTAAAGCCTAGTTTTAAGTGCCTGGGTGTGGGTATCTGTATGTAGTGTGTGTATGTGTGTGTGTGTGTGTGTGTGTGTGTGTGTGTGTGTGTGTGTGTGTGTGATTGAAGGATGGTAGGGAAGTACTTAAAACTTGGCTTTATAGTTAGGCTTTTATTTATAGGTAAGATTTATGCCACAAACCTATGGGAACTTTCCCTCTAGATTTGGGGAAAGATATCAGCACTGTTGAATGTAGTGCTGGAGTACCATTAGTCAGTACTATAAAGGAAAAATTATTTTATTGGGAAGAAACAACAATTGTCTTCTGACAATTATTTTCTGATTGTCAGCCTAGAAAAACTAATAGAGTCAATGGAATGAACAATTAACTACAAATCAAATAAGTGTCTAAACAAAGTTCAATAAACTTGAAGTTCCTAATGATCTTTGAACTTGTAGATGAAGAGATGAAGGTTGAGGAAGATGGCTCACATGCTGACCGTCTGCTTTTCCTCATTCGCACAGGGTCGAGGCTTTGAGGGAAGCAGCAACTGCAGTGGAGCAGGAGAAGGAAGTGCTTCTGGAGATGATTCACAGCATCCAGAACAGCCAGGACATGAGGCAGATCAGCGACGGTGAGAGCCAGCCCCGAGCGTGCTGTCGTGTTTGTGGAGAGGGAGCGAGAACAGAACAGGTGCAGCTGTTCATTACCGCAGTCACTTGCCCGGCCACTGGTCCAGCCGGGGTCCCACCCCCAGCCATGACCAGGACGACACCTACCAAGGCCATCTGGTTTACTCCCTCATTCATTTTTAGTGTCTTTATAAGCTATAGGACTGCAGGACAGGACAGGCACCAGTGGCTCATGCCTGTAATCCTAGCCACTCAGGAGGCTGAGATCTGAGGATCACAGTTCAAAGCCAGCCCAGGCAAGAAAGTCCATCAGACTCTTATCTCCAATTAACCACCAGAAAACCGGAAGTGGTGCTGTGGCTCAAGTGGTAGAGCCCTTGCCTTGAGCTGAAAAGCTGAGTGATGGACAGCACCCAGGCCCAGAGTTCAAGCCCCACAACTGACCAAAAAAAAAAAGACTGCAAGATATTTAAGAGTGGAGGCAAAAGGTGAGAGTTGAGGCAGAGAAAGAAAGACAAAAGGAGATGAGTTTTCACCTGACTTGGAGGAAAAGAAGAGTACCATTTTTATTTTATTTATTTATTTTTGTCAGTAATGAGGCCTGAACTCTTGGGCCTGGGCGCCGTCCCTCAGCTCTTCAGCTCAAGGCTAGCGCTCTACCACTTGAGCCACAGCATCACTTCTGGCTTTTTCTGCTTATGTGGAGCTGAGGAATCAAACCCAGGGCCTCGTGCATGCAAGGCAAGCGCTCTACCGCTGAGCCACCTTCCCAGCCCCAAGAGCACCATTTTTGAACCAGAGGACCCATCGGGGCTATAGGGCTGCATTGTAGCCATGTTCCTTAGTGCATGGCTGCCAGGGTGAAGGGATCACTGGCGTTGCTCTCCTTGGCGCTGGACTTCCTGGTCGCCTCCTGGGGGAAGGGGCCACACACAGGCTTTGCTCTCTTGGCACTGGGGTTCCTGGGCTCCCGCTGCCCTCCCCAGGATGAGAGTGGGTGGAGTGAATGATCAGTCTGACTCCAGACCACAACTGCTGCTCATCCAAAGGGGTCAGTGTGTCTCTTCACCGTCTTGGCTGAAGACTGGGGATTTGGAAGCTGTGGGACAGGACAAGAAGGGGACTCCTGACTTCTTGTAGGTTGAAAAATGTTGGTAGAGCTCCATTGTGCAGCCTTGCTTCCTTCTGCTGGCCGTGATCTCTGGACCTCTGGCCTACTCCACCCCTCCGGGCGGATGAAGTCAGTGCCTGTCACTGCTACTGGGCAGCCAGACTCTGGGCAGTGTGCTGTGGTGAGCTCTCATGTCCTTGTGTGGGACTTGTGATCACCACCTTTCCCAGCACAAGCCCTGGTGTGGCTCCCTGCTCCAGCCCCGAGCTGAGCCCATCTTCATCATGTTACCAGTGCAGAGCTGCCACTGCGTGCAGACACACAGACCTGTTTGGACACCTGCTCGGTGTCCACATGTAAAGATTATCCAGGAAAGGTGGCCTATAACCTTGCTCTTCCTGTATGCTGTGTTCGCTTTAAACAATTCTGAGAAGTGCTTATAGACGACAAGTTTTGTCGCTAATGAACACCATGTTCTTGTCATGTTAAGTCCATGTCTTCTACTGATGGGTCTTTTAAACCTTGATACATTTAGGGGAAAGAGAAGAATTAAATCTGACAGCAAACCGTTTGATGGGACGGACCCTCACTGTTGAAGTTTCAGTGGAGACAATTAGAAGTCCACAGCAGCAAGAGTCCCTCAAGCATGCCACGAGGATCATAGATGAGGTGGTCAGTAAGTTTCTGGATGACTTGGGAAGCGCCAGGAGTCATCTTGTGTCTCTCTACAGCGCATGTTCATCTGAGGTGCCCCCTGGGCCTGTGGACCAGAAGTTTCAGTCCATAGTAATTGGCTGTGCTCTTGAAGATCAGAAGAAAATTAAGAGAAGATTAGAGACTCTGCTTAGAAATATCGAAAATTCTGATAAGTCCATCAAGCTATTAGAGCATTCTAAAGGAGCTGGCTCCAAAATGCTACAGCCAAATGAAGACAAATTCAATTAGTCTTTGAACTTAGAGGCATTTTGATATTGTCAAAATACTAAAATACTATTGCAGGTGACAACTTGTTCTTTATGTTAGGCATAACCTCTTATTTGATGCCAATAGTTGTTTCAGATGAGGGAAGTTATTTTAACACCAAATGTTTTGCAAGTATTAAACCCAGAAGGATTTTAATTATGCAGTTGTTAGATTGAATTGCCATGTACCAGAATCTAGCATTACATGTCACATGTCTTAATGTTCACATAGCATGTGGCAAAGTAGTACTTGGCCAGGGCAAGAGCACACTGCTCTTGTACATAGTGCTTGTACTGTCTCTTCTGGACTGTGGCATATGGTTGACTGGAAACTCCTTGTCTTGAGCAACACACACATAGCAAAGAACTCAGGCTTGCAAGATCAGAGGAATCACATAGAACATTTTCATGCATGCTGTCATTCAACTTTTATGTGCCTGTGTTAAGTACTATTTTGAATGAAAGATTGGAAAATTAGTGATTGTATTTTTATATAAATGGAAGCAAATATGAGAAAATTACCTTCACTTTCACCATCATGAACAATTATGTACACTTAATCTCAAATGCATCATTTCTAAACATTTTGGTGTGGTGCCTTGCCTTTCTCCTCTTGCCCTCCCCTCTTTAAACAAAGCCTGCTTGTTAGCTTCTGGATCTCCATTCTGCCTCCCTGGCTCATTTGCCCACTCCCCGCACACTGGACGTTTGCCCGCTGTTGCTGTTACCACAACATGCTCTGTTCATAGAGCTTTGCTCTTCTTTGATCTTTATATAAATTCCCATTCATGGGTTTTTTAATCAGAGTATATATATTTTCATCTAACATTTTTAAATATTTTGTATAAAAGTATATCAACTTACAATGTCTTCAGTAATTAACACACATCCATTTCACTGATACTGTTTAAGCATTGGACATTAGACTTTTTTCTAACCCATACATCTTGTTTTACTAACAAGGTTGACCCGCACGTTGCTCTTTTTACCTGTAATAAATGAAACAACTGTAGGACATATACTGGTGTTGCTACACAACTACTTAAACCATTTCTCCACAACTGCTCTTGAGTATTTCTTTCTTAAAAACTTACTATAAAGCTGCTATAGAGGGTTTACCATTTCATAAATCAGGCAATGGGGACACTTTTTTTGGATAGAGTCACCCCTTATTCTCTCCCAGTTTTTTCCACCTGTCCACCTCCACAAGTTGTATAGTTCATTTTCAACATGGTCTCTACTTCTCACTCATTTTTGGGGGGGGAAAGGGGGTCATGGGGCTTGAACTCTGGGCCTGGGCGCTGTCCCTCAGCTCTTCAGCTCAAGGCTAGTGCTTTACCACTTGAGCTACAGCACCACTTCCGGTTTTCTAGTGATTTATTGGAAATAGGAGTCTCATGGTCTTTCCTGCCCGGGCTGGCTTTGAACCGTGATCCTCAGATCTCAGCCTCCTAAGTAGCTAGGATTACAGGCTTGAGCCACTGGCGCCCACTCTCACTCATTTCTTGTATTCATATTGAGAGAGAGGTAATAGCCTGGCTTTGTACATCTCTGGGCAAGTGCTACTGAACTGGATTTACCATAGTGAAGACACTGCTGTGACTCATGACACGCTCTGTACCTCACAGGCAGTTTCCTGGTTTGTCTGCAGACTCCAGCTCTGCTGCCACAAGGCTCCCTACCCAGTGAAGATGTTTTTATGTCCTCATTGTGAAAATTAAGGAGTGATTAATCCATTTCCTAGGTTCTCATGTGTTCTCTGCGCAACCCCACTGCTCACATGCACCCCAGTCAACCTGCCACTTTCCACCAATTCTGGCTCTATCTCCTTGACCTTTGTCTTCTCCGCCTTGTACAATGCAGTTGGGTTAGCAATCATCCATTTCTTTTCACAGACGTGAAGAGTGGTGATCCTCCATCTCCAAGGTCTCTGGTCTGCACTGCCTTTGCCCTCTGATCTTCCAGGGTGAGCCACATTATTGATGACTGATAATAAGAGCATTGAGATGTAGGTTTTACCCATCCCAATTTCTGTGCACTTCCCGGACTGTAGCTGCACCTTTAGCACAGCCTTTCTGCCATCTCTTGGTAACTTACTTCCCGGGACTGTACTTCTAGGCAGGCTCTTCTTCCTTTATCTTCAGGGATAGGCTCTCTGTAGCAATAGCCAGCAAGAAGGACCCACTGAGAATCTGGCAAATCTCACCCAGATTCACCAACGGAGGCCACAGTGAAAGTCCTATTTAAACCGTGACACATACATAAATAACCAGCGGTATTTTAATTTATGGACCTGACACACTGAAGTTCTCATAGGAGTGAGAAAGGGAAACATGGGCGTGATGATGGTGAGCAGCTGTGGCAAGGGCTTCCTGACAGTGCACCCACAGAACAGCCTTCCCTTGTAAGCACTAGCCAGGTGATTCCATGCACAGCCCTGTGCTGAGGGCATTTGGTGTGGGACCCTGCTTAGAATTTACCCTGAAGAGGCAGCCACATGCTGGAGATTTCTGCTCCACTGGAAACAGCAGAGCATCTTAACAAACTGAAAACTGTGACCTGGTTTAAACTAATAGACATATTGTACGTCTCAGATGGCTGTGGTACACGAGGTACATACATCTGATACACAGTGTGATAATTCCTTTGGAAGGCTAAATGTTATACTACCTAAATACACAAAATAGGCAAAATTGCTGAGAATGTTGTGGGGAAATTCATTTTTCTCTGTGTCTCCTTACATAGGCATCAAAATGAAAATGGACAAAGCAAAAAACTGGAGTTAAGTGGCAGTATAGGCTGGATTCTAGCCCCACCCTTGCCAGCAGACACTGTGCAGTCCTTAGCAGTACTTGCGAGGAAGCATGGAAGGTGGCACGTGCAGAGGCTGAGTGTGATGCCTGACACAGAGGCACCTGTTAAATGCAGTAGAACCAGACAGGAAAAAAAGAACAAGTATCTGCCGGCCACAAAGACCCAAGCATCATCAAACAGTTTAGGAAACTGATCCATGTTTATAAAAGAATTTCTAGGGCATATTATTAAGTGTTAAGTGCACTAAATAACCAACATCAATAAAATTAGCATGTTAGCATGCTAGATACAAATACCAAATAGTTTGATTAGTGTGTGTGTACATGTGCACACACCACTGTCAGGACTGCAGCTTGAACTCAGGGCCTAGAAGCTCTCCCTTAGCTTTTTCATTTATGGCTGACCGGTTCTCTTCCATTTGAGCTACACCTCCACACCTGGTTTTTTGCCAGTTGATTGGAAATAAGTATCTCACAGACTCTCCTACGCTGGGTGCCTTGGAACTGCACAACCCTCAGATTTCAGCCTCTTGAGTAGTCACCGGTACCCAGCAGTTATTTTTATTTTTTTATTATTTTTTAAATTTTTCTTTTGGGTCCAGTCGTGGGGCCTGAACTCTGGGCCTGGGCGCTGTCCCTCAGCTCTTCAGCTCAAGGCTAGCGCTCTACCACTTGAGCCACAGCACCACTTCCGGCTTTTTTCTTTTTGCTTATGTGGTGCTGAGGAATCGAACCCAGGGCCTCATGCATGCAAAGCAAGCGCTCTACCACTGAGCCATCTTCCCAGCCCCAACCCAGCAGTTATTTTTAAAACCTATTATACTTTTCAAATTTTAGTTCTACATTGGTGATACACATTACACACAATCCTACCTTAAAATGCATTTATTTTTTGATTTGGAAATCATCTTCACTGAAATTTTAATCAAATAGTGTATTTTAAATTAAGCTTGAGGGCCTAATTACAAGTGAATACAAGTGGCTTACTTTAACAAAGCATTATTAGTAATAAAAATATAGAAGACTCAAGTTTTCATTTTTAAAATTCTTTTTACCAATATCCTACCATAGACCCGGGGGTCTTCAAGAGAGAAGAAAGGAGCATGAGCTAGTAAACAGGTAAATCATCTGGTCACTAGAGCCTTGTGATCAGTGTATTAGTCCACTGTTGTTTCACTATGTTCACTTGTGCAATAGATTTACAAGTTTTATAAGAAAAACTTCTATGTAGTCTGATATGCATACTTCCTGCTTGCTGAAGCAGACAGAGTCGACCTATTGGTTGATGGTGGTGCAGTATGGATGCTGTTGCCCTGATTCAATACGCTGGTGGTCCAGCTAGGGCAGCAGTCCAGCAGGGTTTCAGGCTGGGTGCTCCTGCTGCACTTCCAGCTGGGCATCAGGCTGAGGTCTTTAACGAGACCTCAGCCCCTCAGGCACAGATGGGTTCGCTTCAGAAGTTCCTTGACCCCTGCCTGTGGCCCACAGTGGACAGTGATGTGTCCTCTTTTTGGTAGTTTTGACTGTACTTTGAGGTTCTACATGTGTGCTCAACTTTGGGCAGTGTTAAAGGCAACCATTTAACCTGATTCTGTTGGGCTGTATTGCTTTATTATGGGCTTTTCTGATATAGTATTTAATTCATAGGCAGTGAGCATAGAAAGAAAGGAAACCTAGGGAACTCTGAGCTGTGGCAATTATTTCATAGGTATCTCTCTGCTAAAAAAGCAGCGATAGTACCAAGAAGACTAGACACAAATACACAACCCCCTGTGCTTTTAGAGACATTTTTCGAAATTATAAGGTTATTTTAATAGCTCAAGGGTCAGAGAGGAAAAAAAAAATTGAATTTTGAAGGTTTTAGAATTTATTAAATTGAGAAACTAACATCATTTGTGGCTGATTTTCAGACCTACTTAATGACTGCATAGGTGTGAAATATAGCACAGTAAAAGTCCAAATGTGTAGCAAAGATCTCTTTAGTTTTTGTTAAATAAGAAAAAGATAAAAACCAGTGACATAAAATTATATTTCAATTTTTAAGGGAATTGCAACCATCATCAGGGATTACATTTTTATAGAAAAGTAGCACATACTTTTACTCACATACATTTAATCAATATGAAATAGGACATTATGTAACAAATGACTTTCCTGCTAACAAAGGCTGTTAGATTACTTGCCACAAAATATACTTTGTGCAGACATTAAAGCGATTGTTTTTCAAGGGAGGAGAAAGCAGTGCCCACCAGGAGGTGAGCCCCCAGCCCTCATGCTCACCCCTTGCCAGCAGTGGGGATGGGAGCGTGTGGCAAAATAAACCTAGGACGTGTTCGGGAACGCGGTGCCCTCAAAGCAAACGTGTGCACTGGAAAGGCCGGTCTGTTCTAAACCTCACTGCAAGGAGGGGAGAATGGTCCAGACAGGAGACTTAAAGGAATAGTAGGAGGATGAAACATACCAGGAAAATACAAAAACACTCATATTTTAGTACAAAAATGTAAAATGACCTCATGACATTTTCCAAGAAAAAAATATTTTTGACATATTTTGAAGTCTTGTAAAAATGAGATGCTATCTGAAAAGCAGATCCATTACAAACAAAACCACCTGGACCAGACTTGAGTCAGTTTTGGAAGGCTGCTGTCCCAGGTCACATCAGTGTGTGTCAGACCGTTTCCTGTCCCTCCACTTTTACTAGCATCCATGAGCAGGACAAAGAGTTTCACTGCGGTGGCAGTGTGGCCTCAGAGACCGTCTTGAACTATCATGTGATGGCAGCAGTTCCTGAGAGATCACTACGCAGACCAAAGGCTGTAGAAAGTCTCATGGAAAAAAACTATATAAAAATGTGTAAACTGAAGGGGATTTCAGCATTGCAAGGCATTATGAAATCCACAACTTGGATTAGGACTAAAGTTCATCTTTTGTGCACTTTTAAAAATGGCTGCGATAATTTTAAGGTCTCCAGATTGGATTCTGTCAGCAGCAAAAAGTGCCAGCCACACAATGCGTTTTGCTAGGCCTCCTGTGCTAGGCGACCTCTGGCAGCTGGCTGACCGGTGTGGAAGCTCACGCTCACCTTGCTCACAGTGGGGACACACACACACACACACACACAGAGCTGGCTGACAGGTGTGGAAGCTCGCGGGCGCACGCACACACACACACACACACGCACGCACACACAGCTGGCTGACAGGTGTGGAAGCTCGCGCGCGCACGCAAACACACACAGCTGGCTGACAGGTGTGGAAGCTCGCGCGCGCATGCAAACACACACACACACACACGTGCGCGCGCGCACAGTTCTTCAGTGAGGACCCCACGGAGAAGCTGCAGCATCTGTCTACCCTGTCAGAGAAGAGAACTGCTCTTAAGAGTTATCATAAACAATATGAATTCTGATAGTAAAGCACTTGTAAGAATTAGGTGATTTTTTTTTTTTTTGGCACAAAGCATTTTTAAGTTCAAGCTCATTTTGCAAAATGTCTGTCTAGAATTTCTCATTCGAAAATAAAACAAGACACAAATGATTTCATGAATGAGTTAGAATCTAATTACCTTAAATACTGTACATGTTTTCAGTTTGCTCAGGACCAACTAGCGGCATGCCTTCCTCTACCAATATTTAATGAAAACATTGCCAAAAACATACCAATGCCATCTGGCTAGACTCAGGGTTGCCTTTCAGTACTATGTTCTCCAAGTATTCACAATGAATACTGCTTTTCAGAAAAGGAAGATGACCAATTGCAGGAAAAGAATGCTTTTTCCTTAAAATCAGTTCCAATATAATTAGGCATTCATGTTTTCCAGCATTTAAAATTCTGCACGACCTGTTTGACATTTTATAGCATTAAAAAAAAACAACAGGAGAAACTTTGTCTAATGTAGAAATAAGAAAATAAGCCCACAGGGCAGTTTCCCACAGGTCCCACACCACATTGTGAAGCCCTGCAGAGCAGAGCTTAGATCTGCTAGCCATCAGGAAGCCACTAGGCACAGAGGCTAAGATGCTTGTGAAATATGGCAGTGGTGGCATGTGTCAACATACTTCATCCTGGCTCCTCCTAGAACATCTTAGAGTATGTTACAGCTGCTAAAGGGATTTCGGGTTTTCTTGGTCCTTTGTTTGTTAGGTCTGAGATTGATGATGTCTCCGCCATTTAAGGTACTGGAATTCTGGCCCAGGTGACTTCCTCCAGATGTATTAAAGACACCTGTATAAACAGGGAAAGCAGATCAACTCTGAAACACACCAGGGTTACATGGAGCATCATAATAACCATAAGATTTTTTTGTTGGTCCTGGGGCTTGAACTCTGGGCTGGGCGCTGTCTCTACACTCTTCAGCTCAAGGCGAGCGCTCTACCGCTTGAGCCACAGCGACACTTCCAGTTGTAATTCCATTCCACTTTCCCCCACCCTCTCCCACCCCCAGCCTCTGGCAACAGTCCCACTGCTTTGTGTCCTATTTGTGGGCTCTTCATTTTGCAGAATATACCTGGGATTCATTCATACTATAGAGGTTCCTTTGTAAGAAGTGTTTCACTGACTGCCATGTTCTGCATGTCCATTCATGTATCAATGTACATTTCAGTACATTTCAAACTCATTTTTGCCTGGTTTACTTCTTTCTTTCTTTTCGTGGTACTGGGAGTTGAAATCGGGGCTTAGCACTTTAGGATTCTGTCGTTCCTCTCCCCCACCCCAGGGAGGGTCTCCAAACTTCCTGGCTGGCATTGCTGTTTTATAGGCACAAGCCTTATTTTTAATAGTTACTACAAGACAAAGGTAGCAGCAAGTGCCTGTAATCCTAGATACTTAGGAGACAGAGAGACACTGAGATCAAGACCAGCCTGAGCAACACAGTGAAGACTCCATGTTCAAGAATGAACTGATGCACATGCTCTTTAGGTTCAAAAGGGCACAGTGAAATCTCCTTTTCACCAAACTCCACGTCCACCCCACCCAACAATGTCCTCCTCCATGGCAGACACGCTATACTTCTTCCTGAAGGTCTCCAGGGACTCTCTGCATATACAGGAAATGCACCTTTTTTGCCCTCCATTTTTTACTGAAATCGTGGGGTACTCTACATACTGGTCTGTGGAATCTACCTTGAATTTTGGCATCAATAAATGTGTTAATTACTTTGCCTATTTGCATCATATAACCACCTCAAAAATACTTGATTTATATAGACACAATATTTGTGATACTTTAATATTACATATGCAAAAGCTAGTAGTAATACAAAGTTTTCCTATTTAGTATAACATAAAAATGATCTACTGGTAAAAGTGACAGATAAAAGTACTAAAAACAGTACTAAAAATCATTTAAAAATTAATTGCAAATTATTATAATTTTTTTCGTTGGTTGTGGGGCCTCTACTCTGGGCCTGGCGCTGTCCCTCAGCTCTTCAGCTCAAGACTAGTGCTCTACCACTTGAGCTACAGCACCACTTCTGGTTTTCTGGTGGCTTATTAGAGATTAAGAGTTTCACAGACTTTCCTTCCTGGGCTGGCTTTGAACCGTGATCCTCAGATCTCAGTCTCCTGAGTAGCTAGGATGACAGGCGTGAGCCACCAGCGCCTGGCTAATTACAAATTATTTGGATGGTACTATTCACAAAATGTACTTTAATTTATGAACTGTCTACCAAACACCATACATGGAACCCTAGGCAGAGAGACTACAAGGATACAATGATGTCTAGGACCAAGTCTGTCCACACTGAATTTTACAATCTAACAAAGTGTGAGACCATTCTATGTTAGGTTTATAGGTAGTTCAAAGGAGGACCAATTATAGTTAATTCCTGCAACAAGAAACCCTAGGTGGAGAATGTGCAGTGGACCTCTGCCAGCCATGGACTGTGATTTCTGTTAGAAGAAAATATGAAAGGTTGTAGTTCAGTGGTAGAGTGTCAACATGCAAGTGTGACACCCCAAGTTCAAACCTCAGTTCCTTCAAGAAAAGAAAGTATGGAGCTTGAGTCTTCCATTGGGTCTGAGAGAACACAAAGAATAAATACCCTGACACAGGATGAGAACATTCATCTCCCACAGGTGCATGTGCACAAGTCAGTAAGCCTGCAGTGTGCTTGGAACCAGAAAACTGGTCATATGAAACAGTGGGTGAGGACGCACACCAGGACAAGACAGTCTTCCTACACTAGGTAAATGCTGGGAGAGGAGAAGCTTTGAGGACTGTAGCCAAGACAAGAGCGTGGCCCAAGGAGACCAGAGCAGGCAGAGGCTTACTGCGCATGCTTTCTGCTCACAAGACATCTGTGGTGTCTGTCGGCAGGACACATGCAGTAAAAGCCAGAACCGAGGAAGAGCCACATTAGAAGATGAGTGCGCTCAGGGTCACTCAGTACGGGGATGGGATGAAGATGAAGTCTTCCAGATAGCACTCTGGACTTCATGAAGGCTGACGCACCCTTGTAGAGAACTGCATTTACCATGCAAGAGAAAAGGCTGGCCACAGGGAGACGTGGACAAGTGCACAGAATAGCCTTCCTGAAGCTCCTCCAGGGAAGGAGGCCTCCATAAAAGTACCCTTCTCTCCCTCCTCCCCTCTCCCCCTCTCTCCCTCCTCCCCTCTTCCCCTCTCTCCCTCCTCCCCTCTCCCCCTCTCTCCCTCCTCCCCTCTCCCCCTCTCTCCCTCCTCCCCTCTCCCCCTCTCTCCTTCCTCCCCTCTCCTCTTCTTTCTCTCCCCCTTCTCCCCTATTTCTCCATTCCCCTTTCCCCCCCAAGAGTCCACGGCAACTAACGAATGTAGGAAATTCAGTGTAAGAAAACACTTAACTTGAAATACTGATACAACTAAGTTTAAAAATCATAAACCATATTTCTTAGAGAAATGTACACTATAAAAAAGTAAAGCAATAATGAGAACAGGTAGCACTTGTTCTTGTACTCACCAATTTTGTTACTACTTGAATGCATCAGTTCGGGGTCCTCGGGGACTTGTTTGAGTTTTTGAAGGTATTTCTCAGCCAAATATTTAAAAACTAGAATAAACACAAGGTCAATTTGACTATGGTAAATGTAACATTATTTCATATTACACTATCTGTACTAACCCTACTTAAAAATTAAACTTCAAAATTTATTTCAGCAATCACCTGAGAAGTACTAAGTAGTATTTATTTAGTAAGGAAAGGAAATTATATTTGTAGACATTGTTAGCATAGTGATTACCATTTAGCAACACTAAATTGACTCATTTTTGAAAAAGTCTCTACCTAGATTAGTTGAAGAAAACTAGCTAAAATAAACACTCAAGTACTAGTTGCAATCCAATAAATGATTCTTCTGGATTGAGAAGTCCCAATATTCCTCTAATCTCTTAAACAAGTTAATGTCATTATCACTACCTCTTTGTTGACTACCAAGGAATGCTGAAACAATCCAATCATGCTGAAGAGCTACAGAAACATAGAGGGGAGTATGAACTTCAGAAACTAAGACAAGCAAAACTCCTAACTGCACAAAGGCATACATTTGGGGAAGTTGGAAAGGCACGTTTACCTTCTGCCACGTTCAGGTCTTCCTTTACAGAGGTTCTGTAGAATCTCAACTTTAGCCTCTTGGCCAAGGCCTCGGCTTCCTCACTGTAGGCACACGGGGGAAAAGAGGCTCATGAAGTGTTTCTGACGGCTCGTTTTAAAGGTGGGGGGGTGGAGGGGGTTGGATAATTTCCTTCAAAAATGCTTTACGTTTCCTTTTGAAGCAAGCTTGGCATTGATGTCCCACTGAGTAAGGGTCACTAAAAGCTCAGCTCATTTCATGTTTAAGTGGAAACCTTAGGATTTACTGTTCTTGGGGTAAACACTGTCACACTGTAGTTGTAAACACAGTACTGTTCTAGCCATACAGTAAGTAGTTACCGGTTCACTTTCTCTACTATGGACATTATACTCATCATACTCATCCTCTGAGTACTTACCGGTACACTTATGCAGTGTTAGCTTTCTCTACTGTGAGCAACATACTCCTCACACTCTGAGTACTTACTGGCCACCAAACAACCCTGTTGCCAAAAGCCCAAGTTTAACAGCTGCATCTGCTCTGTCACTGAGCCTCTCTGTGCTCAGAGCTAGCACTCTACCACTTGAGCCACAGTTCCACTTCTGGCTTTTTCTGTACTGAGGAATCAAACCCAGAGCTTCAGGCATGTAAGGCAAATACTCTACCACTAAGCCACATTCCCAGCCTATGAGAGACGCATTTTAGTTTCATTAGAAACCTGATTGTAGTAGCCATGCTACAAAATGGCCCCTGGGGACCTCCTCCCACTGTGTTTCATGTGTTTCATACCCTTGGGTAGCCTCCTCCACCCTGGAAGCAAGGCTGGTCTCCCACAGCACACCCAGTGTGATTCTAGCACCTTGTTTCTGCTTTGCTCTCCTGCGTCACCTTTCTTGAGAAAACTATGGCCATACTGTGGGAACTCATCTCTGAGCAGCCTCACGGCGGGCGTGAGGATCTAGGGCCTCCTGCTTTTGGCATGCTGGACATGAGCAGAGCACACCTAGGCCCAGCACTGGGAGCAGTGGCTAGCCTCGCGCACATGGCAGTTCTGCCAGTAGCTGTGCTATGTATGAACCTCATGGGGTGCTGTAGCCCGTCCAGGCTTCAGCCTTCCCACGGCCACCCGCAGAGCCATTCCTGAGTGCCCTACACAGAGAAACTGAGAAAATGCTGCTTTACACCACTCAACTATACCTGACTGGGTACATACAACAGATAACAGAAGAACAAACAAAGCAAAGAGCCGGGCGCCGGTGGCTCACGCCTGTCATCCTAGCTACTCAGGAGCTGAGATCTGAGGATTGTGGTTGGAAGCCAGCTTGGGCAGGAAAGCCCATGAGACTCTTATCTCCAGTAAACCACTCAAAAAGCCACAAGTGGAGCTGTGGCTCAAGTGGCACAGTACTAGCCTTGAGCAAAAGAAGCTCAGGGACAGTGCCCAGGATTGGCAAAAAAAAAGTGAAAATTTTGAAAACTAGTAAAGATATTAATAATCTAATGACTACTTTTAGATAAAAATTACTTGGATGCTAAACTTTGTTCATTAGTTTGAAACTAACAGTTGTGAATAAACAAAACAATATGGACCATAGTTGTTCTTAAATTTGTGAACACAGAATATCTACTTACTATACATAGTTTAAAAAAAAGTCCACATCTGTCATGTTTAAATCTGGCGGGACATTCCCAACGCCGGCACAGTAAACACTGAGCGCACTTCCTTCTACCGTTCTGAAATGCAGTTCACGACTCTGACCTGCTGTTACCCACTGTGCTTTTGTAATCTAAACCAATCACAGTTAATAGTCACAGAAAATTCAAGAAAATTGAAGCTTTTAAGAAAATAAAATCCTTATAAAGGAAAATATACTAAGGCTTTCCTAAGTTTTGTAAGTCTAAAAAATTAAAATTGTCATTGGGGCTGGGAAGGTGGCTCAGCAGTAGAGCGCTTGCCTTGCATGCATGAGACCCTGGGTTCGATTCCTCAGCACATAAGCAGAAAAAGCCGGAAGTGGTGCTGTGGCTCAAATGGTAGAGCACTAGCCTTGAGCTGAAGAGCTGAGGGACAGCGCCCAGGCCCAGAGTTCAGACCCACAACTGACACAAACACACAAAATTAAAATTTTAAATGTTTATGACCACCCCCTCCCTCCTGAAAGTAGCACCTTACTTCTTTATACAAGAGTCATCCAAGAGATCGATCTTGTTTTGCACAAGCACAGTTGGGATATCTCCAACTTCAGCGACTACTTTTTCTCTCCAGCTGGAAACTGCTTCAAAAGACTCCCTGTCCACCGTGGAAAAGACCAGCACACAGGCCTGGGCTCCTGTGGGGACGGGAACAAGCAGGTTCTACATCAAAGGAGCACCGCACACCCGTCAGGGCCGCCTTCTCCTGCTCACGACAGCTTCGACATGACTGAACTCCTCTTGGTAACGTCTACTTGTATTTCAACATTCAAACTTATTATAAAGTCAAAGAACAAATTTTTTTTTTTTGTCGGCTGTGGGGCTTGAACTCTGGGCCTGGGCGCTGTCCCTCAGCTCTTCAGCTCAAGGCGAGCGCTCTACCACTTGAGCTACAGCGCCACTTCCGGTTTTCTGGTGGTTTATTGGAGATAGGAATCTCATGGTCTTTCCTGCCCGGGCTGGCTTTGAACCGAGATCCTCAGATCTCAGCCTCCTGAGTAGCTAGGATTACAGGCGTGAGCCACCAGCGCCCAGTTAACAAATTTTTTTTTTTGAGTCGGTCGTGGGGCCTGAACTCTGGGCCTGGGTGCTGTCCCTCAGCTCTTCAGCTCAAGGCGAGCGCTCTACCACTTGAGCCACAGCGCCACTTCCGGACTTCACTAGTGGTCTATTGAAGAGTCTCATGGACTTTCCTGCCCGGGCTGGCTTTGTCTTTGAACCGTAATCCTCACATCTCAGTCTCCTGAGTAGCTGGGATTACAGGTGTGAGCCATCGGCACCCGGCAGAGAACCAATTTTTAATCAGGAACCATGTTTCTTAAACATGTAATGCATCAGTATTTGTATAATAGATACAATTATGTATTACACTTGTCTGTAAAATAGTATATACACATATACAGTATATGTACACATATATGCTATATATGTATAATGGGGGGTGGAGTTTTAGCTTACTTAATCATGAAACCCCATAGTATACTAGCAATATTGAAACTATCAACTCTCATGTTAGGCGAATAGTATCTAAGATTAAAAATAACCAGCCGTGTTCAAGAAGCAGCTGTCATATAAATCATCAGTTGCTGATTTAGCCAGTGCAGTAACAGCAGGTGTGTACATGGCGAGCAAGAGGCCGTCCCAGAGCCCAGGCGCTGTTCCTTGCTTTCTGTCCTTCAGAACCATCTTGTGTTAACGCATGCCTGGGCTGCCTAAGCGATAACCATCAGTGCTTTTATTGCTGTAAAGCAGAAGGGAAATCCTTGCTATTCTAAGAACTCGCTGTAAATGCATTAACTATACAGAGTACACACAAAGGAGAAAAACGGAGGGAGGAGGGAGGGAAACAACTGATGCTCACACTTCAAGATTTGAGGAGAATTTGAATGACGATTACATTAGTGTTTAGATACATAAATGTATATTTATTTGAATTCTAATATTTACCAAGACTACACATAAAACACTGTATAATCATTTTAAGCATGACTTAAATCATTTTATAATCATTTCTTTATTATAAAACTCTATTTGTTAGCCTGAAACCAAGAACTGCAGATGCAATCAACTACATTTACATTCAAGGGCCTAACAGGATTTCGCAAGTGTATAAGATCTGACTCTGAAAAACAAAACCAACAATCTTAGAGGATGTATATAGTTAAAAAAAAAAGTCTGTAAGTAGATGGTTCCAGATATTAGCGGTAAGAATAAGACAAAGAGTAAAAGAAAAAAAATGTCTATAATCTCCCCAGTTATATATAAGGGATAGAATAGGCAAAGAACAAAGAAATGACCAAGTGCTTGTCTGGAGAGGAGGATGTGGTGTTGTTCAGACAGGTTTAAACAATCAGGGTAAACAGTGTGCAGAAACCGTGGTTGTTTTCCCCCAGCTCCAGTTTTGGAGTGCTATGGAAGACAGTTTTTCCTGCAGACAGAATTCCCTCAAACAAATGCTGCAGGGAATGCTCCCCTTTCTGCCTTGTGGTTTATCCGATGGTTTTAGAAGAGCCCTGGGCTTCTCAGCACATCCCCCAGGAGAACTGGTGCCTCCCAGCACAGCCTCTGGAGACATCTTCACACCGCTCTTCTGAGCAACTGACCCCTAGTTACCTTCAGCTCAAGGCTAGCACTCTACCACTTGAGCCACAGCACCACTTCTGGTGTTCTGAGTGGTTTATTGGAGATAAGAGTCTCACGGTCTTTTCTGCCCGGGCTGGCTTTGAACCATGATTCTCAGTTGTCAGCCTGCTGAGTAGCTAGGATTACAGGCGTGAGCCACCGGCGCCTGGCTACCTACCTACCTACGCTGGTTTTTCTCCTTTCCCCACCCCTGAATCACATCCCAGATAAGCAGTTACCCAGATGGGGGTGGGGAGGTGGGAGATGCTCACAGTAATGGTCTTAAATGGAAATTAAGGAGATGGTGGGACAGTCGGTGGACTCCTCCTCACTGGTCTTCCTAACCCTTCCCTTCCTAGTCTTTCCTTCATAATGACCATATCCCAACCTACACATGCAGCAGGAACTGTGGCATCCCTTCCCCAGGAAGGTATTGCTGCAGGGGGGAGGGGTGTGTGTGTGTGTGCGTGTGTGTGTGTGTGCGTGTGTGTGTGATCCCTTCCCCAGGAAGGTATTGCTGCAGGGGGGAGGGGCGTGTGTGTGTGTGTGTGTGTGTGTGTGCGCGCGTGTGTGTGATCCCTTCCCCAGGAAGGTATTGCTGCAGGGGGGAGGGGCGTGTGTGTGTGCGTGTGTGTGTGTGTGTGTGTGATCCCTTCCCCAGGAAGGTATTGCTGCAGGGGGGAGGGGCGTGTGTGCATGTGCGTGTGTGTGTGTGATCCCTTCCCCAGGAAGGTATTGCTGCAGGGGGGAGGGGCGTGTGTGGTGTGTGTGTGTGCGCGCGTGTGCATGTGCGTGCGTGTGTGTGAGATCCCTTCCCCAGGAAGGTATTGCTGCAGGGGGGAGGGGCGTGTGTGTGCGTGCGCATGCGCGTGTGTGGTGTGTGTGTGTGTGCGCGTGTGCATGTGCGTGCGTGTGTGTGTGAGATCCCTTCCCCAGGAAGGTATTGCTGCAGGGGGGAGGGGCATGTGTGTGCGTGCGCGTGCGTGGTGTGTGTGTGCACAGGGTGGATGCCGGCAGGGGCTTGCCACATGACCCACACCAACTAAGCCCACCCCCGTCAGCACGGCCATCAGGCCAAGGTGTCCTAATCACACAACAGCTCGGGAGTTTGGTTCACTCCTGGAAGATGGCCTCTCCTCAGCCAAAATAGACAAGGCTGTGGGTGTCCTTGCTTGAGACCAGCAAGAAAATCAGCAGGAGGAACTCCGCACAGGAGATCAGGAAGGCTGTAGTCTGAACAAACTTCTTTTCCAGGAAACAATTCAGTATACCTCGTGTATAAGCCAGTTTGATTCTCTTTTTTTTTTCTTTTGACAGTCGTGGGGCCTAAATTTGACCTGGGCGTTGACCCTCAGCTCTTCAGTTGAAGGCTAGCACTCTACCACTTGAACCACAGCACCACTTCCAGCTTGTGGTGCTGAGGAATTGAACCCAGGGCCTCATGCATGCGAGGCAAGCATTCTACCACTGAACCACCTTCCCAGTCTGTAAAGCCAGTTTGAAAAGGAGTCTGTTTCTGTGTTCAGCAACCCAAACCATTCTGACAGACCCCAAAGTGATCCACAAAGGGACATTCGGTCTAACATTCCTCAGACACATTAATTTTGATTGTGGTAAGTAAATATTCACCTTTACAGTTTAGAAAACGAGAAAGCTTGCTGGCGCTGGCGGCTCACGCCTGTAATCCTAGCTACTCAGAAGGCTGAGATCAGAGGATCGCGGTTCAAAGCCAGGTTGGGCAGGAAAGTCCGTGAGACTCTTATCTCTAATAAACCACCAGAAAACTGGAAGTGGAGCTGTGGCTTGAGTGGTAGAGTGCTCACCTTGAGCTGAAGAGCTGAGGGACAGTACCCAGGCCCAGAGTTCAGGTCCACTTGACTTGCTTGCTCATCTGCTTCTCTAAACCTTGGGCTCGGTTTGTTTTTTTTCTTCTGGTTATTTTGGAGATAGGAGTCTCATACACTTTTCTGGCCGGCTGGCGTCCGGGGCTGTGGGTTCAGGGCTCCCCAGGGAGCAGTGGCCTGCCCGGGCGGGCGGCCCAGCGTGCCTGACACCCCAGACCTAGCACCCCAGGCCCAGCGTGCCTGATGCCCAGGCCCAGCACCTGAGGCCCAGTGTGCCTGACGCCCAGGCCCAGCACACCCCAGGCCCTGAACACCCCAGGCCCTGCACACCCCAGGCCCTGAACACCCCAGGCCCAGCACACCCCAGGCCCAGCACACCCCAGGCCCAGCACACCCCAGGCCCAGCACACCCCAGGCCCAGGACACCCCAGGCCCAGCACACCCCAGGCCCTGAACACCCCAGGCCCAGCACAGCCCAGGCCCAGCACACCCCAGACCCTGAACACCCCAGGCCCTGAACACCCCAGACCCTGAACACCCCAGACCCTGAACACCCCAGACCCTGAACACCCCAGGCCCAGCACACCCCAGGCCCAGCACACCCCAGGCCCAGCACACCCCAGACCCTGAACACCCCAGGCCCAGCACACCCCAGACCCAGCACACCCCAGGCCCTGAACACCCCAGACCCTGACCACCCCAGGCCCAGCACACCCCAGGCCCAGCACACCCCAGGCCCTGCACACCCCAGGCCCAGCACACCCCAGGCCCTGCACACCCCAGGCCCTGCACACCCCAGGCCCAGCACACCCCAGGCCCAGCACACCCGAGGCCCTGAACACCCCAGGCCCAGCACACCCCAGACCCTGAACACCCCAGGCCCAGCACATCCCAGGCCCAGCACACCCCAGGCCCTGACCACCCCAGACCCAGCACACTCCAGGCCCAGCACACCCCAGGCCCAGCACACCCCAGGCCCAGCACACCCCAGGCCCAGCACACCCCAGGCCCAGGACACCCCAGGCCCAGCACACCCCAGGCCCAGCACACCCCAGGCCCCAGATCTAAGCCTAGCACTGAAAACAAGACAGAAGTCATATAAGACAGGGCCCACTGTTTAAATATAAAATGGTGCTTCCCATTTCACAGGAGTGTAGAATGAGGAGCTGGGCTTCAAGAATACCTTGAAATTATTTTAACTTTGTTCTGTCTCACTGCAGGGGATGCAACCTAGAGCTTCATGACGTTAGGTGAGTGCTCTACCTCTGAACTGCATTTTCCCGACCTACTGTAACGATTCTCACAGGGAAACTTTTACATGGGAGAGAAAGCAAACAACGTGACAGACAAATCAGCACCACATTTTACCTCGATAGTAGGCCTTTGTTATAGCATCAAATTCCTCTTGACCTGCAGTGTCCCATAACATTAGTCTGACATCCTCATCATTAACTCTGAAAGAGATGGATTTATGTAAAGTTTTTTTTATAACGCTTTAAGCATATTTTTGTTTTTCAAATCCAAAGGCACTAAAGCTACCTTGTGAGCATCACTGTGAAACGTGGAGTTGAGGCCCTTTAATGTTGGACTAGCTGCAGCAGTGAAAGTGGAAGAGCTGTGCAAATGGAATGGTTTTCTTTAACAATGGTCATGTGCACTAATGGCCGGGCGGACGCGACCCTAGCCACTGCTTTCTCCTCCTGCCCACTCTAGTGGGCTTTGGCGCTTCATAAACATGAGAGTATGGGCAAGAAGCTTCACTGCCCTCTCGCTAGAAAATTTACTTTGTTATAAAGTTGACTACTCAAAGCATTTGTGTCCCAGATGGCACTATGTTGTGGGTTGTTTCTGTTTCTCTGGGTTCAAACCTAGGACCTTCTGTGTGCTAGGCAAGTACTCCACCTCTGAGCTCCATCAATACTGAATTACCAAAAACTGAACCATACTGAGGTAGATTCTTAGTACAGGTGTGGTGGCTATAAGCCCAGTACTGGGGAGGGGAGAATTACAAGTTCAAGGACAGCTTGGGCTACATAGTATATCTGAGCCCAACCTGAGCTGCATCAGTCTCTGCCTTGAAAAAGAAGGAGAAAAAAATCCTTTATAATTTTTTCTAACTGATCAATACCTAGCTTTATGTATATTTCTGTTTAGAGACACCTTATTTATATAATTTAGCATAAGTTCATGCCCAACAGCACTACAGATCAAACTACTGTGAGTCCTGTCTGCACAAAGCTTATCTATCTAACCCATGCATTTTCTCTGTAGGAAATACTTCATAGCCTCCTTGCTCTTAGGAAAGTAGACAGCACTCAGCACTGCACTGGGAGGACACTTTCAAAAAGCAAAAAAGTGAAAAAGGTGACATTGTGCAGAGCATTACAGAAAGGACACATTCTCACTGTGTAAGAGCTGAAGCCGGGAGACTGAGCTTGGTTTCAGCTGGAGAAGTATATGCTGGGAAACTCCTGTATCTATCCACAAATGACCAACAAACACTATAAGTGGACAGATTTTAGCAAGTAGCTGAACAGTCAGGATTAACTATATGCTAACTATGTATTGTATATTACCTGATTTCAGGCAATAAGTACAAAAACATCAAAACTTACAGCTGAAGCTACTTAAAGCATGTTTAGAGAAAGGAAGCAAATAAAAAGTATAGAGCACAGATAATAGGATACAGATTCAAAATTATCTTTGAAATGACGAAGACAGCCTTTCCTTGTGTGATGTTAATATCTAGCCACAAACATTTGTTTAATGTTTCTTATGTCTATAACACCCTTTTTTTGGTCAGTCCTGGGGCTTGAACTCTGGGCTTGGGCGCTGTCCATGAGCTCTTCAGCTCAAGGTGAGCACTCTACTACTTGAGCCACAGCACCATGGAGATAAGAGTCTCACATACTTTCCTGCCTGGGCTAGCTTTGAACTGCGATCCTCAGATCTCAGCCTCCTGAGTAGCTAGGCTTACAGTCAGGAGCCACTGGCACCCAGCTCTGTAATACATTTTTTTAAAACCTAAAATAGTCTTGAAAGTTTCTCAAAACTAATAACAAAAGGCATTACTCTAAGGGTTTTAGTATCCAATTAAATTCCCTAAAGAGTTTCTTTTCATAGGCATATTTGATCCTCCTAAATCTGATTTATTTCTTTGGAATAAAAGCAAATTATTTGCTCTCCAACTTCTCTTTGTACTCTTGTCTAATTTTACAAAGAGAGGAAACATTATAATTTAGAGACATGGATAACTTCTAAATAAAAAAAAATAGAAATATTAATCAGAACATCAGTCTGTGTTTAAGAAGTACCTGAAATGTAATTAATAATTATAAAACATATGAGAAGGAAAAAAAGTAGGTAAAAGGAAAAAAAATGAGAGAAAAGCGGAAAAAATGAAAAATAGACCAGGCACCAGTGGCTCACCTCTGTAATCCTAGCTACTCAAGAGACTGAGATTTGAGGATCGAAGTTTGAAGCCAGCACAGGCAGAATAGTTCCCAGGAGACTCTTATCTCCAATTAACCACTCAAAAACCAGAAGCGGAGCTTTGGCCCAAAGTCGTATACAGCAAGCCTTAGATCCCAGGGACAATGCCCAGGGCTCGAGTTCAAGCCCCATGACTAGCCAAAAAAAAAAAAAGGAAAACTAAGGAGCAAGAAATAAGGATAAAGATGTTTATGGTTAGGCCTGGCATGGCGGCTCAGGCCTGCAAACTGAGAACAAGAGGCAAAGGAATATGGGTTGGGCCACACAGTGAGACTGTTGAAAAACGGCTGTCCTAGCTGTGAACATGGATGGCACTGTGATTATCCGCTATTATTCCAGTGAGCGTCTTACATTACAAATCCAAAGAAGTGAATGGAACAGCCAGGTACATACTGGATCTGTCGCTCCAGAAAGTCCACTCCGATGGTTTTCTTGTAGTCCTTTGTGAAGACGCCCTTGCAGTACCGCTGGATCATGCTCGACTTGCCCACCGCCCCGTTCCCCACCACCACCAGCTTGATGGCCACCTCCATGTCCTCCTCCAGCATCTTGGCGCAGACACGCTCTCGTCCCAGGGCCTGGCCGCCCCTCCCAGGCCTGTGGTTTAAAATGGAGATCTTTTGACTACAAAATGTAGTCAGCTGCAGTTATTTCATCGGGGAGGAGCAGCTCGGCAGGAGCAGGAGACGGCGCTGACCGCGGTGGTGAGCCGGCTCCCTTCCTGTGAGGCCAGAGAGGACAGACTAAGGAGCCAGCACCTGCAGTCATGGGAGCAAACACCGCGCTTCTCGGTCCTAAGTTACCCTCCTCCGCCCTCCTTCACACGGAGTGTGGACGGGGGTTCTGACGATTCCCCTCCGGCCTCTCCTCACGGCTCCAGTGCCCATCTCCAAGACAAACTTTCAGAAGAGATCCGAGGAGGAAGTCTCACCCCGGGGTTTGGATAAGATGCCCAAAGACACAGAAGAAAAGTCAACAGCCTGGGCTTCATCACAAAAAAGCCTGCGCTTTCGGAAGGGGATGAACTCAAGCGGAGCTGCAGACCAGCGGCGTCCGAGGCGCCGCGCACGCACCGGCGATCACGCAGCCCATCTGCAACAACGCGCGAGGAGCCTCAGAGTCCACGCGAACCTCTAACAACCCGCGCACACAGACCCGGCCGGCGCCAGGCCAGAGCCTCACCGGGACGCGCCCCGCGCGGGGCCGGGGCCTACCTGGGCCGGGGTCCTCAGACGGCGCGGGCGCGGGCGCCCCGGGCCGGGGCCCGCATGCTCCCCGCGGGGCGGGCGCTCGCACGGCCGGATCCACGACGCGCGGCACCTGCGGAGACCAACAGCCCGGAGGCGGGCGTCCGGCCGGGGCTCGGGGCCGCGGGGGCCGCGTGCGAGCAAGACGGAGCGCCGGCCCGGGGCGCCGCAGCCCGGCCCCCGCGGGCGACGCCGGGGCTCCGATCCTGCCCGCCCGGGGCCCGGGGGCCTCCGCGCGTCCGCCCCGGCCCACCGGGGACCTGGCCGAGGGCGAGGGGACCCCGGCCTCCCGGCCCGGCCGCCCCGCCCGGCCTCCCGGCCCGGCCCCGCTCACCGTCCGTCCTGGTCGCCGCCGCCCGGCGGGCCCGCGCCGCCCTCTCCCCGCTGGCGACGGCGGTGGTCGGGTTGCGGACTCTGCGCGGGGCTCCGGCCGAGCGGCTGGCGGCGGGGCCCACCGGCGCCGAGCTGGACGCTTCTCGCCAGCGGAACGAAGCGCTTCGGCGCTTGCGCGAGGTCTGCGCCGGGCTCGCTCTGCGCACGCGCGCCTCCCTGCCCTGTCAAGCCCCGCCCCGCCGGGACACGCCCCAGCCAAACCACGCCCTCTAAAGCCACGCCCCCGTCGGGGACTTAAAGCGCGCGGTCTCCGGCGTCCCCGCCGTTCGCACTTGCCGCCCGCGTGCGCGTCGCGGCCAGCGACGTCCGCCGCTGCCTCCGGGAGACAAGGCGCCTGGGTCCGAGGGGGCTCCCTTCCCGCGGAGCTCCCGTCCCCGGCGTGCTGGGCTCGAGCCCGGGGCGGACGCCGGGACGCCCGGCTGCAGAGCCCCGCGGAGGCCGACGGCCGGCGTCGGGTCCGCAGCCGCGTCCGCGCCACGGCCCGCGCGGGGCGAGACCGACGCCCGCGGCGCACGGGGTGAGTGAGCGCGTGCCGGGGCAACGCGGCGCGGGCCCGACGGCGGGGCCGACCGGGGCGGCCGCGGGTCCTGCCCTCGGCCCGCCCTCCTTCCCCTCCGCGCCTCCCTCCCCGCGTGCCGTCCGCCCTCGTCCCCGCGTCCCCGCGTGCCGTCCGCCCTCGTCCCCGCGTCCCCGCGTCCCCGCGTGCCGTCCGCCCTCGTCCCCGCGTCCCCGCGTGCCGTCCGCCCTCGTCCCCGCGTCCCCGCGTGCCGTCCGCCCTCGTCCCCGCGTCCCCGCGTGCCGTCCGCCCTCCTCCCCGCGTCCCCGCGTGCCGTCCGCCCTCCTCCCCCCGTCCCCGCGTGCCGGCCCCCGCCCAGGCCGGAGCCCCGCGCCCTCGGCCCTCGCTCCGTTCTGCCGGCCGCTCGGACGGGCCTGGCACCCCAGCCCCGCGCCCTGCCTCTCTCTCTGGCCGGTCTCGCCGTCGCCGGGAGCACGGCGGGCAGGGCGGCCTCTGCAGGGCGTCCGGGAGGCCCGGACGCAGCTGGCGCGCGCCGGAGGAGGGCCGACCGCCGTGGGGGCTCGAACCCAGGCCCGACACCGTCCCCAGCGTTCCCCGCTCGAGGCCCGCGCCCCCCACTGCGCCAGGGCTCCTGCCCTGGCCGCTTGGAGCCATGCCGCTCCGACCCCAGCCTGCAGAGTGGTCGCGGGAGCCACTGACCCCCAGCGGCCCCGAGTTGGAGTCCAGGGGCCCGGGACGGCTGCCCCGAGTTGGAGTCCAGGGGCCCGGGCCCAGCTGCCCCGAGTTGGAGTCCAGGGGCCCGGGCCCAGCTGCCCCGAGTTGGAGTCCAGGGGCCCGGGCCCAGCTGCCCCGAGTTGGAGTCCAGGGGCCCGGGCCCAGCTGCCCCGAGTTGGAGTCCAGGGGCCCGGGCCCAGCTGCCCCGAGTTGGAGTCCAGGGGCCCGGGACGGGTGCCCCGAGTTGGAGTCCAGGGGCCCGGGACGGGTGCCCCGAGTTGGAGTCCAGGGGCCCGGGACGGGTGCCCCGAGTTGGAGTCCAGGGGCCCGGGACGGGTGCCCCGAGTTGGAGTCGAGGGCCCCGGGACGGGTGCCCCGAGTTGGAGTCGAGGGCCCCGGGACGGGTGCCCCGAGTTGGAGTCCAGGGGCCCGGGACGGGTGCCCCGAGTTGGAGTCCAGGGGCCCGGGACGGGTGCCCCGAGTTGGAGTCCAGGGGCCCGGGCCCAGCTGCCCCGAGTTGGAGTCGAGGGGCCCGGGACGGCTGCCCCGAGGTTGGGTGCTCATCTTTGTGTTCTTTTGTGTGTACTAGCGCTTGAACTCTGAGCAGGACACAGATGCTTTTGATCAAGGCAAAAGCAGGGCGGAGGAGGGTGGGGGGAGGGGCTGGGGAGGTAGGCGGGGCCGAGGGGAGTGGAGGGAGGGGCCTGGAGGAGGTAGGCGGGGCCGAGGGGAGTGGAGGGAGGGGCCTGGTGAGGTAGGCGGGGCCGAGGAGAGTGGAGGGAGGGGCCTGGGAGAGGTAGGCGGGGCCGAGGAGAGTGGAGGGAGGGGCCTGGAGGAGGTAGGTGGGGCCGAGGGGAGTGGAGGGAGGGGCCTGGGGGAGGTAGGCGGGGCCGAGGAGAGTGGAGGGAGGGGCCTGGAGGAGGTAGGTGGGGCCGAGGGGAGTGGAGGGAGGGGCCTGGGGGAGGTAGGCGGGGCCGAGGAGGGGAGGAGGAGGGGGCCTGGAGGAGGTAGGCGGGGCCGAGGAGAGTGGAGGGAGGGGCCTGGGGGAGGTAGGCGGGGCCGAGGAGAGTGGAGGGAGGGGCCTGGAGGAGGTAGGTGGGGCCGAGGGGAGTGGAGGGAGGGGCCTGGGGGAGGTAAGCGGGGCCGAGGGGAGTGGAGGGAGGGGCCTGGGGGAGGTAGGCGGGGCCGAGGAGAGTGGAGGGAGGGGCCTGGAGGAGGTAGGCGGGGCCGAGGAGAGTGGAGGGAGGAGCCTGGGGAGGTAGGCGGGGCCGAGGTATGGGAGGCTGTGCAGATGAGTTCAAGCCCCATGAACACAAAAAAGGCAGGACAACATAAATACTGGGGTGTGGGTGTGTCGGTTGTGGGGCCTGCACTCTGGGCCTGAGCGCTGGCCCTCAGCTCAAGGCTGGCACTCTACCTCTTGAGCCACAGCGCCACTTGCAGCTTTGTCTGTTAAGGTGGTGCTGAGGAATCGAACCCAGGGCCTCATGCGTGTGAGGCGAGCTCTCTACCGCTGAGCCACCTTCCCAGCCCCCTCTACAATTTTTTTTTTGGGGGTCCGGTCGTGGGGCCTGAACTCTGGGCCTAGGCGCTGTCCCTCAGCTCTTCAGCTCAAGGCTGGCACTCTACCTCTTGAGCCACAGCGCCACTTGCAGCTTTGTCTGTTAAGGTGGTGCTGAGGAATCGAACCCAGGGCCTCAGGCATGCAAGGCAAGTGCTCTACCACTGAGCCACCTTCCCAGCCCTACAATTTTTTTAACTGTACAAAAGCGGTTTTGATTGGACATTCAGCAAATCCTCCCAGCCATGGCCACGGGCGTGTGTATGCCCAAGCTTCCTGCCAACTGCTGTGCCACCCCTTGGTTCCCTCCTGACAAAACGACTCCGCTTCTGGTACTCATTGTAGTGAAACTGTAGATTCCTTGTTTAGGAGTTACACCACGAAAACAAATATTCTCCTGCTGATACTTCAGTCATATTTGCGTGTGTGTCTCTACAGTTCCTTACCTAGAAAACTTTAGAACTCTCAACCACATTTAAATATTGTGCCAGGCGCCAGTGGCTCACGCCTGTCATCCTAGCTACTCAGAAGGCTGAGATCTGAGGATCACAGTTCAAAGCCAGCCAAGGCAGGAAAGTCTGAGACTTATCTCCAATAAACCTAGAAAAGTGGAAGTGACACTGTGGCTCAAGCAGTAGAGCACTTGCCTTGAGCTATAGAGCACAGGGACAGCACCCAGGCCCAGAGTTCACACAACCAATAAAACAAAAATACTGTTTCGAAGAATGGTTACTTCTTAGAAGGGTGATGCTATAAACAGCCATTTGGGTACCATTTCTGGTAACCAACCAAAATGGGCAGAGGTATGAAAAGCTCAGGTCTATGGTCTCTGCTGTAGTGTGGGCGGACAGCCCTCGTGAAGGCCATGTGGCCACGTGCTATGGTCTCTGCTGTAGTGTGGGCTGACAGCCCTCGTGAAGGCCATGTGGCCATGTGTTATGGTCTCTGCTGTAGTGTGGGCTGACAGCCCTCGTGAAGGCCATGTGGCCACGTGTTAAGGGCGAAGCAGAAGGAACACTGAGGATGGGGCCTGGTGGGAGGTCTCTGGATCACTGGAAAAGGCATTGTGGAATCCTAGCCTCATTTTCCTCCCTTTTTCATTCGGCCTTGACACAGGAGCTTCCCCGCTGTGCTCTCTGGAGGATGTACTGCCTTCTTCCATGGCTTTCCAGGGCACTAGAGCCAACCAGTCATGCATTCAGATCTCTAAGGCTGAGCCGAAGTAACCTTTCTCCTTACAAATGAAGAGTCCGGTTTTGTTAGAGATAGAAAGCTAAGTCTCCAAAGCTGTTTTTTTTCCAAATAATTTTGCTCCTCCCAGAATAATAATTCTGCAGCTCTTCCAGCAGAAGGTCACACCTTCCTCAGTCTGATCAGAACCTCTAACTACTTTGTCCATGAAAATGTAGAAATAACGTTTGGATAACTGTGCTCAAGACTTAATTAGCCTCCTATCTCTCTCCTCTGAATTCACAGGCTGCGTTAAAAGGACGCAGATTGAGGCAGAGAATAAAGGCGCCTCCGAAGGACTGCAGCTGAGCTACCATGTACAGTCAAAAGCACCCAGTACCAGCCAAGCTGATCCTTGGTCCACGCAGAGCAGAGAGAAGGTAGGATGTGCGCCAATCATAAAATCACAACCAGACACAACATTACTGCTTTTTGAGTTGGGGTGTTACACAACAATTGAGAGTTAAAACAAGTTGTGTTAGCAGCAGGACATGGAACAAAACTCCATACACAGGCTGCTAATTCTAAGGGAGCTCTCAAATTTGAAGGGAGATGGGCAGGGCTTGCTCATAATTTTTTCCTGAGTAAGGAGTGCTGGGCTTCAGAGAAAGAAAGTTCAGGAAAGTGCTTCCAACATACTGTTACAATTCTAGTTGTAACTGGATAAACATTACAGATTATTTGGGGTGAATTGTCATCTGTATCCTGTCTGATTGTTCAGAAAAATAGAACTGAATTATTTCCTGATGTTTTGTGTGTGGAAGGGTGTACGCACTTTCTGAAACCCTAAATTTTACTATTTACACTAATGGAAGGGTGCCCATACTGGCATACTGTTGAGATTTAAAATGACTTGTGTTAAAAACTAAGTCCTCAAATAAATCTTGATGTCCCCCAAAAAGGTAAGTGTATGATTTCTGATTTTTTTTCCTATTTTGATTTAGCAAGTTGATGGCTTATTTGAGTATAGGTGGAGATACTTGATCTAAAGCCTTTATTAAAGCCAGCTGCGTTGCGTCCCTTGTTGCTGAATTTTGACAAGGCTTTTAGAGCTGATCAAGAGGTTTCGTCTGTCTTGTTTATACTGATGGATTTACATTGATTGGTTGCATATGTTGAGTCATCGTATTGGTAGTATGAAACCAACTTAAGCACAGTAGGCAATGCTGATTTTGGTTCATGAGGATTTCACCTACTTTGTGGTCTGTTTCATGGGCAGGATTGGTGTTGAGCTTTGTTGTGTCGGTTTGGTATTGGATATACAGTAAGATTGACTGGGGAATGAGTTTGGTACTGTTGCTTTTTTTTTTTTTAATATTTCATCGTGTAGTTTGAGGAGAATTACTGTGAGGTCTTCGAAAGACTGAATCTCTATATATGATGTTAGTATATGTGGAGGGGAAGGGAAAAAACAAATCGTTAAAACAGGGATACAGGAGGACCCATTGCAACAATGATGTACAAGTCCTTATGTCGAAAAGCGAACTTTACAACTTTGGTGGGAGGGACGGGACGGGGGTGGGGAAGGATACGAAGAGATGGGAAGGGAAAACAAAGGAGGAGGCTACAATGCTTGATAAGAAATGTACTCATTATCTTGCCCATGTAATTGTAACGCCTCTGTACAGTATTTTCACAATAAAAAGACTGAATCTATCTGGCTCCAAGTTTTACATGAAAATCTCATAATTACTGCTTCAGTTTAATTTCTTGTATGGCCCTATGTTTCTATCATTTAAATCAGCGTTTTATGGCAACGTTTTCTATGCATCCCAAATTGTGACTGTATCTAATGCGGGCTGGGTCTGGGCTTGGTTTCCCAGCTTGCTTTGACATGCGCCAGATTACCTTTATTGAATTTTGGGATTTCTCTTGGTGAGCGCCGGGGTGTATTTACTGAATTTCGTGGCTAATCTTGACTTGAGCAATTTTGAACCAACTGGTCTACATCATACTAAGATGGCTGTGGTTACAAATGACCCACATCTCCAGCTGTACCTTAGATATTGCACTGTCACTCGGCCTACTGCTATCCTAGTGTACACCATGAGCTAGTGGGTACCAACTCCCAGCGTTTCAGTGTAAACCCTGACCCATGCTAACCAATAGCATTGTACACCACATGCTCATCAAATAGGGCTGCTGCCGTCAAATTCAATATACATACACAAACATGCATTCTACTAAGGTAAGTACTGACACACTTTCTACTAAGGTAAGTACTGACACACTTTCTACTAAGGTAAGTACTGACACACTTTCTACTAAGGTAAGTACTGACACACTTTCTACTAAGGTAAGTACTGACACACTTTCTATTAAGGTAGGTACTGACACACTTTCTACTAAGGTAAGTACTGACATTGTGTACTACATGCTTGGCAAATGTGGCTGTTGCCCAATTATACCAACCTCTATATACTCTTTCATACATGATCAAACATGCATTCTATAAGTGTGAGTACTGCTTTACATTAAGGTAAGTCTGGACATCACAGTCTAGGAAGACCATATAACAATCATATAATGCAACTGTGCTGATGGTTAATGACAGTCATATTGACATCATTCCATCGTTAATTTTGCTTATGGTATTCAAACATCAAATCTATATCATTTAAATTCCAGCAGTGACAAGTGTGTGATAAACTATGAAGCCGCGTATGCGGAATACTTGTATTTAAAACATTAGTGCTGTAACTGGAAAGGGCCCGTGGATAGGCAACGTAACCATGCAGTCAGAAATTGCTGGCTTTGGCTCCCTGGCTCCTGT